CACACACACACACACACACACACACACACACACACACACACACACACTAATTCAGCTGCTACAAACAACTAAAAGCCCAGACAGACAGACAGACAGGTGGTAGATGGACAGACCTTTAAACAGCCTGAGACTAGTGCAGCGTACCTGTTGTAGAATTGGAAATGAGTGTTGGGCTATCTCACGGCGGAATTTCTTAACCCGCTATCACAGACAATCAGGCGCAGACACTGCTGGGTTTATAATTGCCTTGCTTACCTTAGGCTGCATCCATTCACACTTCTCACCAGTGGGGTCGTGCTGCACCGAGAATGGTGACTAGTCAGCTGGTCAGTCGTATGAGGCTGGAGACACAGCTCAGTGGGGCGCTTGCTTTTCTTGCAGAGGACCAGAGTTCCAGTCTCTGCTTGAATTCCACGACACTCTTTTCTGGCTTCACGCTGCCCCCACCCCTCACTCTCCCACCCCCACCTCTTAAAGAAAGCTACAGTGTAACTCAAGAACATGGAAGCTCAGAACCACACTCCTCAGTTGCTGATGTCACACTCGTGTGTGTGTGTGTGTGTGTGTGTGTGTGCGCACTCTTGGGCCCAGTATCAACAATTGACGAGCTTTTTTTATACACTAGTGACGGGAATCATTCAGAAACTAAAAGCCCTGAGGGCTTTATTGTACTGTGTCACACACAGCACACTGCGCTCTACTGTTACTTTACTTTCTGGATTGAGACAGGGTCTCATGGAACAGACTAGTCTAGAACTGGCTGTGCAGATAAGGATGACCTTGAACTGCCTCCACCTCTGAAGGACGCTCAGGCTGGGCACATCTAGGGCAATCCTGCTCTAGCTTGGGCTTCAGGAATGAGCATATGTCTCTCCAGGTCCGTGTTGAACTTTCAACCCTACTGCAGCAGTATTAGTGGGTGGGGCCTTGAGGAGGTGATGAGTCCTTGGGGTGCATGGTGATGAGGGAAGATGCTAAGTTTAGAACAGTGCTAAGGATTCTGCTCCTGAGCTCAGAACTTCCCTTGGCTGCCTTTGGGCCACAGACTGCTATGTTAGAGAGAGATGGTACTCTCCTTTCACCCCCTTGGTAGCCCAGTCTTGACTGGCCAAATTTCTGCAGTACAAGAAATTTCTGTGGTTTATAAATGACACAAACCAAGGCATTTTGCTGGGGAGTAGGGAGAAAGGGCTTTCCTTCCCATTCCCATAAGAAGGACGGCTCTTGTGTCGATGAGCTCTGGACTGCTAGGTGTTTCTTGCTCATTGTGAACACATGCAGTCACTGGCTTCAGGAATCTGGGTTTCTGAAGAGGAACTAAGGGGGAAGTTGTGATGAAGCCTCTTCTCTGAGGACCCAGGTGTTCCTCACATGCCTTGGAAACAGAGCATTGTGTTACATCTCAGTGTGAGGGACCACACTCTTTAAGCCCAGCAGTCTAAGTTTAAAGCACAGATCGCGAGCTCTGTGAAAGCCAAATGCTGTTGTAGAATTTTATGGCACCGCTCGTAAGGCCGCTGAAGCACCCTCCGCTCACTTCCTGCCAAGTAAATGCCAGTGGCTGTAATCCAGAGAACACCAAGTTTCCTGGATCTCCACTATCACTGTTACTATTGCTGATTATTATGTGGAAAATGTCTTTGTCACAAGTCAAATGTGAAACATCCTGCATGGTCTCCTGTGTTTGGACCCTAGGTCCACTTGGGAAGGGCTGTTTTAAGCTGAGAAATGCATGGATGTGTGGCCTGGCTGGAGGCCCTACAGATTGTCAATACAGCGAAACCAGGAGCCACCACCCCGCCTTCGAGTGCTGCCACCTGAGCCTCGCCACCCCTGCCCTCTCAAAGCACAGCCAAAATAAGCACAGTCCTTAATTTCTTATGTTGCTTCCTGTCAACCCAGGATTTGGTAACAGCCACAAGAACTGGAAGATCTCATTACTAGTTGTGACTGTGTGACTGGTCCATCCTTGCTGTGACCTCACCAGAAGCCACTGGGAGCAGCTGCAGACTTGCTGTCACACAGTGCTGCCTGGGGCGGGGTCTCCTCACACGGCATGTACATGCTCACGCTATATTCAGCTGGGGAGCAATTGCTCAGACTTTGGTTCTGACAGACATGGATGGTGTTAACCTCAGAAGCTGACATTGGTCCACTTTAACCTGAACATAGGGAGTTTGTTTTCTGGCCTCTTGGTTTTGGCTTGTGGGTTTTGATTTATATATTACGTTACTGTTTCAATTGGGGGTTTAACTTGTATTTTCATTTCATTTTTTAATTTTAACCAATATTCTATTCTTAACTACTCATTTTTCTTTGATGTTTTTTTTGATTACAGAATTTGTAATAAAAAGAACCATTATGGCCTGAAGGCGGGAGCTATGTTGAAGGGTTTTCTCTATTTTATCAAACTAAGTTAATATTAATCCAAAGTAGGTTTAGGTATAAAAAAGCAATTAGAATGAAGATCACAGAGTCAACAGAAGACTTGACACGGAAGCCCGGCGTTGTTTTAGCTCTCTACACCACATTAAACCCTCTCGGGCGCTAACTTCTGCGCAGGCCTCATTGCCCCACACTTGCCATTTATCTGTTGGAATTTGATTTACCACCTGGTACCATTTCCTTGCACACTAAGATGCTCTTAGTACTTACTACGAGGCAGGCTTGCTCATGTCTTTTTCTGGGAAGGCTCTTACGTTCACTCATCACTGACGGTTTGGCTGGATAGGGAATTCTTGACAGACAAAATTTTCATTTGGGTACCCTGAATACTTCACCTCAATGCCTCTTTGCCCCGCTCCTTCAGGGAGAACTCAGTCTCATCTGAATGCTGGCCTTTTGTGAGCTTGAGTTTTTAGGTTATCCTGTAACTTTTCACTGTTGTATCACTTTCTTTCCTTTCCTTCTTGAAGAACTAACGTGTGTGTTAGTGAATGTGATGTTCCCATAAATGACATGGTCATTGTTCTCTTGAAGCCTCAGCAGCTGTGACTGACAAAACGAGACCACAGAGAATCGTGTCTTTAACAGTCAGTCTGTCATGGAGGTGGGCCTGGGCTCATAAGGCCCTGGTTCTCCGTGAGGGTATAAAAGCAGATCACATTTTCCTAGTTTGCCAAGTGCCCATAGGTAACAGCAATAGAGTCATTGGTTTACCAGGCTAGATGAGAGTGAACTATTCCTTTGGTCTCTTGGTGGCATCTTGTCTGAAGTGGACTGATGTCTGTTCAGTCCCCCCAGAAGCTCACACAATAACTGGGCCTGACCTAGGGCCTACAAGGATCCTGAACTTGAACTTCATGTTGGAACTGTGTAGGCCCCGAGGTGAGGGACTTAGGCTGTTTTCATGTGACCCAACGGGAAGTGGCAGGCAGTAACTGAGTGGGTCACTGTTGGGCTCTTCTTCCCAGAACACAGAATTAACTGGCCTTCTGTAAACTTCTTGACAGCTTTGTGTCCCTGTCATCAACCAGGCTTTCTTCCCTCGCTGAGGACCAAACCCAGGGCGTGTGCTGGGTAGGCAAGCCCTCTCCACTGAACCAAGTCTCACCCTCGCTCTGGCATGTTTACAGTCCTAACCAGCAATGTTTAAATTAGTACGAACCTATGAATTTTGAGATAGTACATACTCTTTGGTTGGGCAGGGAGAAGGGACTAACAAATTAAATTATGTTCTAAAACAACAACAAAAAACACACACACACACACACACATGCAAAAAGAACACTGCCTTAGATTTGTAAAAGGTTAAGATTGAGAGGCTGCTGAGCTGAGCAAGTTGCTATACAAACAGACTCATTTTCAGGAATGTAAGCTGTTGGAGGTTTATTTCATTAAAAACGAAAACAAAACAGACTTCTCCCCAACAGGACCCTCACAGCAGCAGCAATCACAAGGCACGTATGAAATAGAAACATTAAAAATGTCACAGATCACTTAAAATGCCGATCTACCGTTGACACAAATGCACATCATAAAACGACGTTTAAATGACCCAATTCCTCTGCCTGTGCAAAAAGAGAAGGCATAACGGCCTTCCATGTACACACTCCGTGGCACATATCACAAGCCTTTACACCACCCAATATGCTGGCTGAGGAGAACGGCAGCCAGTGTGCAGCTTGGAACTGCTTTTATAGCAGTCCTATCTTGCTGGGGCATCTGGAATTTATAAAGTGAAAAGAACACAGTTCTCATTTTTCTCAGCTTAGAAAAAGCCCACACGTCTATGCTCCTGGACAAAACCACCATGAAAACGGACATCTGACATATTCAAAAATACCAAGGGCATGATTTGTATTTGGGGACCAGAATAATAACCCTCTACCTAAAACCGACTAGAGACTATATAAAAAGTGTAAAGTCAATTACCCAAAAATAAAATAACGTTTGACTCAGATTATTGCTTAGGGAGAAGTATGACTATTTTCTGTTAGTGAAGCTCAGATTAGAAATGACCACATAGTAACTAGTGCATATAAAGATCTATGATCAAATATGTTAAGTGGCATCTATAATGCACAGAGATTTCTCCGCGCAGCAGCCACCCCTGCGCTCTACCTGCGGGGTTCGGGAAGTCACAGTCGAACCAGCCTCCCAGTCACTGTGGCACACGGAGAGCTCCTCTTGGTGCAACAGAATATGGAGGGGTGCACATTGGATCATTCCCACAGACGCAGAGGGGAAACCGAAGCTCCAGTGAAAGAAAAGCAAATATAAATGACAGAGAGTGAAGCATCCCGACAGACCACATGGCACAGTGTAAACAGCAGTGATTTGCTGTCATCTGTTGTCCTCTAAAGTCAGCTCCTGCCTTATAAAAACCATCCATTGGAGGCTGTGCGCTCCAGCCACAGCTACACTGGGCAGCAGCCTACTCTCTGGCCAGCTGGAGGTCTCTGCACAGTTCCGCCTGCAGGTGACGCGGCAGGAAGCACTGGGCCGCAGCCTAAAGCAGCGCAGCCTGGGCCGCTTCTCTGATGGTGGACGCAGCCCTCTCCAACTCTTCGTCTGTGTGCTCCACTGTGACCACAACCCTGATGCTGAGAAAGACAAAGCACAGCGAGACGGGGTCACACACTGGCGCTGCACACCGTTACGCCTTGCAGGAAGTCCACCTTTGCTCCTGCCTGTTTCCTACCATGCAGCAGAAAGGAGCAGCTGTGCAGGGAACTGCGGCCTGCAAACCTAGCACAGTCTCTGTGGGCCTGGGCAGAAGCTATGCCTCCTGGCCATTCCCACACACCTGCATCTTGTCTGAGCGTTTGGTCTGGGGCAGCCACTGAGGCTGGGAAACCAAGCCCTCTCATCGATCTGCCGCCCTAGGCAGTCTTGGGCCCAAATCAGAAAGTCACCACTTCTCACACCAGTGACTGGCCGATCCTGTTTAAAAACTCAGCTGGGAACATGAATGACTGCATTAGGCAGCAAAGCAGACATTTTCAAGTTCTTAGGATACAGGTTTGGTGAGGCAACACTCCTCTGTCCTCAGCCAACACTGGCTTTAAGCACTAGGCACAGTCGCCAAAGATAGAACAGTCAGCTCCTGTCTTAAACCTGTGCTCTGACAGGGTGGCACAGAACCACATAGATGGTGGGTGCAGGAAAGGACGGGCGGAACCTAACGCATTTGGAGCAGCCACCTCTGTGAGCTCACCTGGCTCCGATTTGGCCTTCTGCATGGGAGAACACCCACCTGTCAGGGAGCTCTATGCCCTAGACCACATGCATCTTATACTCTGAGCTCCAACGTGCAATCCACTGTGCACCCAGCAAACTAGAATCTCTCTCACCTGCTCGAGATCAGGGTGCCCACCAGGGTCCTCTTGAGCAGATACTACTTGGCCTCATGTGGGACCACACCCCAACAAATCTTCTACAAATGCAATCCACTTAAGCCCGTTTACCCACTGCACTCAGCCAGAGTCCCGGAGTCCCGGAGGGCAAGGTGGGAAAGTGACTTACAACAAACTGACTAGGACACGCTCTCAGACTCTATTAAACGAGCAGCTGAGTGCTCTACGGGTGTGCTTTCCCCTCAGGGTAAGCCTGAAGGGAGACCATCAGAAGCTGGGGACTGTCTGCACTTGGAGGGCTGGGTGTCACCTGCTTTATGAAGCCTTAGCATCATGCCAGTCTCCTCTGTGACCTCTGACCCAGGGGTGTGGTGGTTGGGGTGCTCGCTTCCTCTTTGAGGTCAAAGACGAGTATTTCAACAGCCTATTTGTGAATCCACGCCTACCGCCCTTTACTGTGCAATCCTGTTGTACTTTGGTGTCCACAGACTCCCATTAGCACAGCTAGCATGGTGACCACACCCAGGCTCCTCCCTTCTCTTGAGTGTCTCCATAGCACAGTTCACCAGCACACTCTTGGGTCACCAGATGATCCTTTGAGTCACTCAGGAGGACACTCAGTCCCGAAAGGCTGTTCAGTTAAATGAAAACCATCGAGTAAAGACATGAACCCAGGCTACGCACTGTGCTTTGAGGGCATTCTTACCCTGCAATCTTTCAAGTCCCCTCGACATACCACATTTCAAAGAGCGTAAAGAAGGTGCTATTGTACTTTAATGTTAACCAACCTGGGAGGAGGAAGGCACTTCTCTTCCTTGTCCAAGTAGCGTGCCTGGGTCAATGCGATGCCCTTGCTCATGCACTGCAGGGAGAAAGGGGATGTTAACTATTGAGGCTTAGACCACAGTGGCCAGATACCATGTCCTCGAAAGTACCTGTCACTCATATTTCCACTTAAAGGTCTAGGAGACAAAGTTTTCTGGCCTCACTGTACCCTCCAGCCGAACCCTTCTTTTGGATCCCAGACCTTCCTGTGATGGTGGGCAACTGGGCTATGCAGTCTCATGGTTACAGAGCCGATGTGATGTCTGAACACTAGAGAGAGTGAGTTAGCCTCCCTAGACACTGCAAATTGGATTCTCCACACTTTGAGCCAGTTTTCAGTTCCACAGCTATAGGCAGCTCGAGCCTACCACATCAGGCAACGCAGAAAGAGGACACAGGAGGCTGGGAGCAAAGCCCTGTGCGCTGACAGTGTTGGCAGGACTGTATCAGACAGCAGTTGTCTGAGCACAGTGACAGCGAGACCTTCCGTGGTTCCATGTGGGCAAGGTGCAGGCAGCAGAGTCTGGTGCTGACAAAGACTGTCCTGAGCACTTCTATGCATTAAGCACCTGCCGACTATCACCGAAAAGCTCTCCGCTGGAATATGGGACGCCCAGAACCTTGAGCAGGGCAACAGCTTACACAGATTTCCCTTTGCATGTAACAAGTTTGGGGACTGGACAGTAGCAGCTGCAGAGCCCTGTGAATACGGCAAAGCAGCCGAACCGCTAACTTCTAAGAGTTGTGCGACTGTATTTACTGTAGGTGCGCATGCGCCTGTAAGTGTACACACGATGCACAGCGCACAGCAAGGCGCACAAAGGAAAAGAATGACTATCTCAACCCCCAGCAGAAGCAGCAGCCCCAAAAGAAGCGGCTATAAGCTCTGAGGAAGGCAGCAGCACAGGTGCAAAACTCACTCCAGATCCAGAAAGGGAACCTGGAAGTGTACTGGCCCCCAACATCTGGCCTGGCTGGCTCCGAGACATCACAAACCAGGGCTGTTTGTGAAGACAGGGCCCTGGGAGGCAATGCAACATAAACATGGCAGAAGTTCTCAGGTCTGCATAGAGAGGAAGAGTTATCATACCCCGATGCCCTTTCTCTAACTACAGAGAACAGGAGTGTGGGGCAGGGTGCTGCGAAGAAGCTGTAAGGCACTTGGTCCCCATGTTGGATTTCTCAGGATGATTAACCAAGATGGCCAGTGACACAGGAGAGTGCAGACTGGACATGAGCTTGGGACTGTGACGTATTCGCGGGCTTATGTCTTTATTATTTGGCTCCCGTGTGTGCACATTTGTGTGCATGTGTAAGCCAGAGGACAACCCGGCTGTTGCTCCTCAGGCTCCGTTCATCTTTTTGAGACAGGCTCTCTCACTGGCCTGATGTTTACCACGTAGGCCAATTTGTCCAATGTTGAGATCAGAAGTATATGCTGTTATGACCGGCTTAAAAAGAGAAAAAAAGTGCGTTCTTGAGCTCCACAGGGCCTGAGTTTCCCACGTGCCTTATCGACTTAGTAAAGGTGGTAGCTTGAATGAGAAGAGCCCCACAGGCTCATCTATTGGAGTACTCAGCCCCCAGCTGCTGGAGCTGTTCGGGAAGGATCAGAAGGTGTGGTCTTCCTGGGGAAGGCATGTCACCAGGGCAGGCTCTGCGGCTTCAAAAGCCTCCTGCTAGTGTCAGTGTGCTCGCTGCCTCCTACTTGTGGATCAAGATGTGACTTCACGACTGTTGCTGTCACTATGCCTTTCCTCCACCATCATGGACTCTAACTCTCTGAAATGGTAAGCTGAAATTAAACAACGCTGTCTTGGTCATGGTTTATCCCAGCAATAGAAAAGTAACTAAGACACTGAGCCATCTCTCTTTAGGTTTTGCTCTGAGAATGTTGTGTATGCCGTCTGTTCCTGTCTATTGCCTGCACGTGAGCCTTGGGTCTCTGAACAGCATTTCACAGTGCTAAGGCAAAAGAACAGAGTGGGGTGAAAGAGAGCAGATATACTGGCATGAAGATCACTGCAACCACAGGGCATTGTACCATCAGGGGAGACAGCAAACAGCCTCCTTTCATGGGCCCCAACACAGACACAGCTTTTGTAGAGCTTCTACACCCTGCTCACTGGTGTGGACCTACCAAAGAGCACAGTCCTGCTGCCAGCAGCAGACTCAGCAACCATGCGGACACGATGCAGTCACCCTGAGCTCTTTGTGCGTTTAGTTGGTTCTGAGCGTGTCTGTTTTTCACCTAAGCACAGCTTACTTTCACGTCTGTACATATCTGGGGTAAGCCATTGAGGCTGTTTCGGGTTGTTTGTCTGTTTGAATACAGTAGATCCCACGAGCCTCTGTGCTGTGTGCAGTCAGTCCTCCACAGACTCTCTCCAGATCACACAATTCAAACAGGGCAGGGCGAAGAATGGCCCAGCCGACAAACCACAAGGTCTTCACATACCAGTTTCACACCGAATATCATGTGACCAACAGGTGCCCTCCAGGCATGCCACAGGGATGGGGAGGGGGCAGGTGCCAGGCATTTTATTTATTTTAAGGTGGTATTGTCTCAGGGCAAAAGTGGAGTGGTGTTTACTCCTCAAAGGCACGAAAGGCTGGTGCCAGGTTCCGTGCGAGGCTGCATGGCCCCAGGCATGTATCCCCAGTGCTGCAGCACACTGGATTTCTGCCCAGAGAGGGCAAGAGCCTGGAAGAAGGGCGGGGGTCCTCTGAAGAGGCAGCTACTGCTGGGAGGGTGGCCACACAACTACCCAGCGGAGTGCAGAGCCAACAACTTAGCAGTAGCAAGTAAAATTAAGACAGAGATTCAGTAAGGAATGGTGGCTCACACCTGCAATTCCAGCCCTCAGGAGGCTGGGTAGGATGGCCAATGAGTGAGTTGGAAGTCCAGCCCGGCTAGACAGGGAGTTCCAGGCCAGCTTGGTGATAGAGCCAGACCTTGTCTCAAAAAGGTGAGTGGGTGAATGTTCTTCAGGGCTGCTCAAAAGAAGCTGGGCACAGGAATAGTCAACGCTGCAGCAGGTCTCCAACTTCAGAGATGAGCTGATGCAAGGGGAGAGAAGGCCTTCAGGCTGCCCCAGGCACCCCGAGAGCTAGCTCAGCGGGGCTGGCCAGGAGGGCCAGCAGCGGTAGACAACCACTGCCTTGGTGTGGTGAGCAGAGGCATACCCCACCTTTTGGAGGAGGGAGGTGTTCCTGAAAGTGAGGTGAGCGAGGGTGGAGAGGCCGCCGAGTGCACAACTGCACACTTACGCGATCTACGACTTCCTGGAGCAGCTTCATATCCTTCTCCCGGGACCCTGTGCTCTCTTCCAGCTGGAGGTGAAGCGCTGGGGAAAGGGACTCCCCCACTACTTTTAAACCAGAAATGCTGGAGAAACAAACACATAGGACATGAGCACACTGCAGGCTCACAGAAGTCCCACCCAGCATAACTGGCAGGGCAGGGCTTGGGTCAGGGCGGCATGCTTGCCTAGCATGTGAGGCCCTGGGTTCGGTCCCAATGCCATAGATAAAACACTGGAATAAGAAATAAAGAAATAAATAGCCCTGTCAAGGCCCACTGAACTAACAGCAGAACTGGGGATGGAAACAGGAACATCCCACTACATGCTGGGATTCCATCTTGAGAAGCAATGTGTTTTGTGGTGCCTGTCAGTCCAGGAAATGCCTGTTAAGCTGTTTGCATGGGCACAGGGAAGAAGACTCCTTTTCCTGGGATGCTGCAGTCTCTCCTTTCCAGTCTCCCATGGGAGTCTGGGCATCCCTGCTGCTTGCCCTACATGCTCACCCCTCTCACAGGCCCCTCCCCCCCTGGGCCTGGCCCTCCCATCTCTTCACCTGATATACACTGCTCTTTTGTTCCCAGGAAAGCTGTCCATGAGGAGTTTCAGATCATGTTGCCTTTGTGCAGGGGCCTCCCTTGGGACCCACTTATGGCAGGGTTCTTATGATTTGCATTGTTTGTTTCCTTCAGGCCTATGTACCATCTTGACTCCTAGCTTATTATCTAGGTTTCTGAGTACCATAGGAATGTGACATAATAACACTGTATTTTGACTAACAACATTATATTCTGACTATCAACATTAAGTTTAGGTGACATAATTGTCTTACCTGTGTGATTTGCATTAAATCTCAAGTGGATTAACATTTTCTTAGATCAACACAGAGAAATCTGCTATGCTAAGAAAGAAGACAGACTGCTCTAGGGAAAATCTTGTCTTTTGAAAGGACTGTTAGAGACAAAGGGCTGCAGCATGAGCGGCACTCAGCCAGGCTCACTCTTGCCTACCTTCTCTGAACACACAGGTGTGACATATGACTTTGAGACTGGGCTACCTGGTTCAGCTTGGCTGGTTTCTCTCAGCTCCTTGTTCTTAGGCCCAGGTTTCCCTCAGGATGAAACAATGAAATGGGTATCTGATCAGCAGCAGGAATGTTCCCACCTTAGGATTCAACAAGCTTTTAGTGCCTGCTGCTGTGGCCTAGATGAACGTCACCACTGGTCAGGGCCCAGGAGCACTACTGGCAGGTGTCATACACTCTAGGAGGCGAAAGTCCTGAGTACAGGTATGTACCCCCAAATGGCACTGTGCATCTAAAGCCTCTTTCTGTTCCTTGGGTTTGTCCAGAATTCTCAGAGAACCATGGGTTCGAAGCACCAAAACTGTGAAGAAAACCACCGTTCCAATTATATCAGTTAATGGCCTCAAGCTTTCTAGTACAGTGACGAGCAGCTTATAACTGGTACTAGGTGAGGTGCTGGCAGCTAACCTTAACTGGTTTACAAGCCACCCCCAAACATTACTTAGTTGTATCTTCTTTATTTGAAGTAATTCAAAACATTAGGTTTTCTCCACAGAGCGAGGTAGGGTCTGCGTTTATAGCCTAAGAAACCCAGGGCATCTGCCATGTGGGGGTAACCTGTGCTGGTTTTCAGCAGAAACTAAGCCACACCCTCTCAAGACCTATCTGCTCTGAGTCCTGAATGGGTGCAGGGAGCAGTATCAACTTCTTAGGTGATGTTTCCCTTGAGAAAAATTTTAAAAATTATGATTTCAAACAGCATCTCAAAGGACCCAGCTTTCCCTCAATATCCACAAGGCACCAGGGACTAACCTAGTGTGTGCTCTAAGCAGAAGAGTCGTGCAGGGGTAGAGCAGGCTGGGAGGAAGGAACAAAACAGACCACCTACGTCTGTGCTAAGACCAGATGAACACAGTTGTAGTTTTAGTTCAGAAACTGAGGGGCTTTGATTCCAAGCCTTTCACATACTTGGCAAACACTTCACCTTACCCAGACAGGTAAATACCAAGCCCTGGGCTTGGTCCTAGGCTCCGAGCCATCAACAAGTAAGCCATGGCCTCCACCCTGTAGTTCAGGAAGAGTCAGCTGTATACCATCTACACACACAGTGCAGGTCTTCAGGCCATGATGATGGAGGCAAACAGCAGGCAGATGACTTTCCCAAACCCAACCTCAGACACAAAGGAGGAGGCTCTTCGTCACTGGTCACTCCTCCTCCTCAGCTGGTTCCTGCCCTCTAGTCAGAAATGCTTTCAATGCTACCCATGTGCTGATGGCTCAAACCATCTCTCCTGGCCCAGACTTTGAAACATCAACTTGGGAATCCAAGGCTGCTCTCCAGCCAATGTCTGATGGGCGGCTGAAGCTTGTCACATACCGTGCACTGAACCTACCCACGGTTCTAGCCAGTCCCTAATTTGCTACTTCATCCAGTCCCTCAGACTGAAGCTTTGGATTAGCCATGGTTCTGTCTTATTCATCCAGCAGACAAACTTCTGGAAGACCCTGCTGGTTCTCCCTTCACTAAATCCAGAGCACGCTATCGCCTTAGGAAGCAAAAGGAAAGATCTCCAACAACGTGAGACCATTTCCTGGAGCACCAAAACGCAGCTGTAAGAGTTTTTCTTTCTTAGAAGAACACTGATGACTAACTTCAATTTCTCTTCTTTCCATGTCGCATTACTAAGGGCAGCATGGAGAGCAGGAGCAGGCCTGCCCAGTACACAGCACACAGCGCCTGCTCTATCTGCGGACAGGCTGACTACGTCCACTGGGTCATCCGAGGTAGCAGCTACAGGGTTAGCCTCCTGGTCAGCACGCTGCCCACTAACACGCTATGCAACTTCTAGAAAAATAAGACCTCGTTATTAAGACACTGGCAAGCAGTGGGGTCCACTGTACTCAGAGCTGCATGGACCGAGTTTTTGCTTTGGTGGTTGCAATGTGGTTGAAGGGATCAGAGCCCATACAGCTGCGAACTGCCCTGCCGCCAAGTGTGGGACTGACGCATGTTATTCTGGCCACAAGCCAGGACACTTACCCTTGTAGAGATGTATGGATGTGCTGGCATTTTTCCTTCAAAACTGCAAAAATGCCTGCACAGAAAAAGAGAGCTTGATGGTACTTCAGGACACTTGTCTGTAGCAGCTCCTGAATCCCCGAACTGTCCAGCCCCTTACTTGGAAGTGCTGGGAATGTTGTGGGTGTGAGCACTCTCAGCGGTACACACCTTCAGGCCTGGGCTCTACCTGATGTCATCACTGGCTCCTTCCCACTGTGCTGCTTATTGTCAGCGTGAGCAAAGATGATGGCTTCTGAACCAAATGCAAGCTCCTGGCCTCCTCAAGAGTTACACAGGCTCAGCTGAGATCACAGGGCACACACTTCCTGCTCAGCTCTTAACCCAAAGCCAGTGGGCAGCACAGAGATTTTCTGCGATGTTTCCCTTCTATTCAGGGAAAGCATGAGACACATATCTGACCTCGTGAACTGACACTGCTGGGGATTCAGGAGTGCCAGCCAGGTAAGGCCTCTCCCTTCCTGTCACTTAAGTTTACTCGTTATTAGTGTGCACTGGGGTGGGGTCATGCACCACTGCACACGTGCGGCGGTCAGAGGACAATGTTGTAGAGATGGTGTTCCACCACCGGTGTGTGGGTTCTGGGGATCTAACCCAGGCTACGTGGCACGCGCCTTTACCTGCCGAGCCATCTTGCCAGCCCACTCTTTGGTTTTAAGGCTGCACTGTTGCAGTAAAAGGCCTCTCCCTAAGCTCTCAGTTAACTTTTTATGGCAAAGTAAAAAGTTGTTTGCTGACAAACAGGTTAGCATGGATTAGTTGACACATCAAATGCTGAAGGGGAAAACAACATCCAGTAAGGCTCAGTTCACTTCAGCTAACTTTCCAAATGCTAGAAGCCAAATGATGGCATTGACCCAGGTCCCCACCTTTCCTAGCCCCATGCTCAGAGTTAAAGCCCGACACACAGTCCCGCGGCAGGGGCAGCTTCTCCACTGCCACTGCCCCACAATGTCAGGCAGGAGCGAGTTTACCCATCTGAAATGCTGGGATGAGGCGTGGTTTGAATCTTGGTGTTTTAGACTTTGTGGCATTTCATGGACCACCTGTTGAATTTTAAACACCCACTTAAAATTCAGATACTGGTTTTTGTATTAAGGACACTTGATTTCTAAAGTAATTTAGACTTCTGTCTGGTAAATAATCTTCTTTGGCTAAATCTTCCAGAAAGCAAGATGCTATCACAGCCAATAGAACAAGCCTTTACATGGCCATACCTGGATTTTCCTCCATGATATTGAGGGCTTCCATGGCGGCCGCAGCCAGCAGGGGAGGCAATGAGGCTGAAAAGCAGTATCCTTGGCCAGAGAGCCGCTATGGAGAAACAAAAGGACAGACGTGTTCTCTCTCTGGAGAGACTGTACAAAGGCACCAAATGCCCACACCACCCCAAGAGCACTCACTGCACCACCAGGGGAGCTACGCCACTCTCATAACAAGACCAAGATGCTTTCTTAAGAGGTGAGGAGTCTGCATGTCTGCAGACACTTTGAGCTAGCCTTTAAAAACAGGTTTTAAAATAAAAACTGTGCAATAAACTAGGAGCTAAGTCTTGTATGGAAGCTGCATTCTGAAGTAACGGTGGGGACAAGGGTCTGCGACTGCGCGTCACTTCTGAGAAGTGTCACCTGATGGTCAACCACGAATGAGCGGCCGCAGCAGAAGCCCCCCACAGATGCGAGCGCGTTCTCCATGTTAGCACTGATAAGGTCGATGTCGTCAATCTGCAGGAAGAGCAGAGCGCCCGTCACAGACAAGCCCCTCTGAGGATGGGTTGTTCTCACTGACTGCTTGCACAGTCACAGTCACCTCCGCCCTACCCACATGCACCCGTTGCTGTCGCCATGCATTTAACTGCATGAGGTAGCACTCTGTCCTCCTTTCTCTGAGGCAGTTCAGTGCTGAGCGCAGATAACATCTCATTCTGGAAGAAGGGTACCCTGCAAGTCTACCCCAGGGTTGTCGGCGGGGCAGCCATCTCCAGCCTGGGGCACTAGGGGCTTAACCCAGAGCACTTGGCCACTTTGGCTCCATTTCCATGTGGGGAAAGGAACTGGGCCAATGGTATTCAACTGTTTGGGGCTTTTAGTAGCTTTGTTGAAGCCATTCTCTGTGGTTTTTTGACAGCATGCATGCATGGCAAAATTATGCATCAAATATGGACACATATACCGCCACCTACACAAACACACATACATATGGCACAGTTATATGTGTGTACGTATGTAAGTACAATTGTATGCACTTCTTCAAATCATATGGAGAATTTTAGATACTAAAAATGTCTTTAAAAGGACTAAGGAAGTCCTTTTCATTACTTCTGTTTGTGCGTGGGGTCTTTCTGTTGGCTCAAGAAGGCCTGTTTCCCAACTGCTGTAACTGCAGGCATGTGCTACCATGCCCAGCTACGGAGGCAATCCTTGGTGATCTTCAGAAATGTAATACAAAAGTAGCTGCTTCCAGAAGAGACACAGGAAACCAAGTTCAACACCCTAGCCCCATCCTTGGCAACAAGTCCAGAGGGAAGATGGCGTCCTGATTGGGCTCACCAGATCCACCCAGAAATCAAAGCTCTGAGCCCAAATGGGAAACAGTTCTTTCTATGAACAGGTTTCTTACAGGGGGAGCTTCCCCAGTGAGAACTCACACTGATCCCATAGTGCTCAGTGACTCCTCGCCCGTGTTCACCAAGGACTCCAAATGAAAGGCTTTCCTCCAAAAAGATTCTTGCTTTATATTTGTATTTTAGTTTAACCTAGTGTTAAAAAGACAAAAACAACCAAACTTAATACTATCATTATTAGCAACATATAGAATATGTTTTGAAGAAAAAAAAATTAAACTTGTAAAAGTACTGACAGGTGACCCTCAATATTTCTGAATTCCGTATTTGCAACTTTACCTATTTGTTGAAATCTGTGACTCCAAAATCAACATCTACCCATTCATCCTTCAGTCACTCATGTGTGGAGTGGTGAAGACACAAGTGAGCTACCTGCCAATGGGTGCTCCCAGCTGAGGCAGGGTCACTGTTCTCTGACCAAGTGCTCTTCTCATAGCACCACTGTACATTTTCACACCATAGAGCCTTGGCCAGAGACGCTGCAGTTCACACTGGCTCTGCTGATGTGTCTTTTAGTACTCTTAGATGCAGAAGGCTGAGAAATACCTCCTGGAAAAATATGCACTGGAGAAACTGCCTGCAGCACGAGTTATAAGGCTGTGTGAAGGAATCAACAACATGAACTAGACAGAACCACATACAAGCAAGCTAAGTCCCGAGCTCCCAGGGGCAAAAGCTGTCCTTCCCTCTGTTGCTACGCATGGCACCGCCACAGAATGCATGAACAGTGAACACTAAGAAGCAGCTGTCTTTTTATATCTAAACGACCCAGGCTAGTAACAGGCAGCATGATGCTAAGACACGTATGTGCACAGGCATACAACTTCTGTTAAGTGTTTGTCTGACTATATGTAAAACCTCCTGGGAAATATATTTTTTTCTCAGCAGTTGTTTTAATCTGGACCCACAGAAATGTTAGAATATAAAAAATGTTTTATGTTTATTATCACAGCTCCTTAGTCTGCTTTCCTCTGACTTTTATTCATTAATTTACTTTTTAAGAGCAGGATCTCACTCTGTAGCCCAGGCTAACCTGCACTGGCCTAAAACTTATGTTGATCCTCCTGTGAGTCCCCTCAGCACTAGGACAGACATTGCAGGCACAGCATGGATGGCTTGTTTTTCTGTCATCAGGCTTATATGAAAATCTTTTTCAGTTTTGTTTTTTTTTTTTTAAACAGAGTTTCTCTGTGGAGCTCTGGCTTTCCTGGAACTTGCTCTGTTTCTGATCATCACTGTTAGATGGGTGGGTGACAGTGGTTATTTGTCATTGGAAACACTAAGTTAAGGGACAGCTCACCTTTCAACACTGACTTTTCCTTCCTTAACAGGAATGAGAGATCAAGTTCTAAAAAGCATGTTTACAAAATAGTAACAATAAATCAGCACTTGAAGGGAAACAGTGAAAGAAGATTGAAATCCAGGCCAGACCCTAACTTGTACTACATCATCTTTCCATAGTCAGCACTCCATGGTCAGCTGCCAGGTTTCCTGTATTTGTTCCACCTTGTCCCTGGGAAGTGGCCTGTAACTGTAACCCAGTAAAAACCAGCTCTAGGCTGGCAAGATGGCACGTCGGCTAATGCCTACCTACCTCAGTACAATCCCAGGACGCCCATGGTGCAAGCTGTCCTCTGACCTCCACACATGCACAATGTGGCACAGGTTAATTACCCATGCCACAGAAATAAATATACCAAAATGTTTTTAAAACCCTACTGTAGTAAGTTTTGGCTTATTGCCCCCCCCCCCCACTATCCTGTCAGCCTCTGACACCCTCACAAAAACAGAACAATGAAGAAAAATACATCACTTGACTCAGCAGTTAGGATTCACATAATATCCTCAGAAGTAGTGAAAAGCTTTACAGGTAACCCATGAAACCTTTCGTTTGAGTCTTTATTCAGCTAATGGACTCCTGGACCAACGCAAGTGTTCACTGGACAGAAGCCAATATCCAAAGGAGCACACTATCAGAACTTCGGAGAAAATGTAGGCACGTCCCAGCTGGTTAGACACTTTTGAGAAAATCAACAATCTGTCCCATAAATACAGTCAATGCATTCAGGAATGAGAAAGAACGTTTTCAGTCTGCTGGAGAAAACCCGCAGAAAATGCTCAGCAGTAAGAGATAAAAAGGTTCCCCTCAAGTCAAAGTGTCTTTTCTCACCACTTCTAAGCAACATGGAGGGATCTCTACCCAGAGAAAACAAGCAAGGGAGAAAAGACAAGAGAAAGAGTAGAAACTTGAGGGAGAAGAAAAGTCTATTTACAAATGACATGGTTCTTTTGTTTTATGAGACAGCATGTCATACAGCCCAGGCTAGTCTTGGAACTGCCATGTTCTGAATGAAGAACCAGCCTGCCTCCAACTTAGGCTTAAAAACCATCTTACAGTAAAGACAAACTAGGCTCATTCCTGTTTATGATGAGGCTTCTATTTCTCAAGGACTGGGCTATGTCCCACCTGTAATGTTAACTTCAAATGGTTTTGTATTGTCTACTCCAAGAATGGCAATCTGTCTTTGTTTCAAAAGATGTTTATAACCATCTGGAAACCCTACCTTTACAAAAGGTTACATGAACACATACCATATATTGGTATGCTCACCTTGCAATCATGTCTTTTGTTTCAGGAGCCTATGTAGGACTAATATGCATGCTTATGTTCCATTCCTGTAGTCCTGCCTATTTTGCCCACCAAATCACCATTTGGAAACTCTGTAACCCTGAACATGGCCTTAGGGGGAGGCAGCCTGTGGACACAAACGAGAAAGCCTGTTTCAATTAATTGCTTGCTTTAGTTAATTTGGCTGTGATGACTTGGGTCAGTGGTCCTTATTCCATTTTGGGAATTAACAGCACCTGAGGGTGATCTTGAGCTTCTGATCCTCCTGGACACCATGCCTTACTCAGACATGATCATACATATATATATGAGACATCTATAGTACATAATATATTAAAACAGCATATTATTCCTCTGGAATGCATGAATTTTATGTTTTGGTATGTTTTTAGTACATAAAATATAACCAAAGATAGATATATAAAAATGGTTATATTCCTGTAAATTAGCAGTGAATGATCTAAAAAGGAATTTGAGGAGACAATTCCATTTAAAACAGAATCTAAGTCTCAGATACTTAGTGACAAAGTTAATGCAGCAGTGAAGCTGTGGCCAGTAAGGCTGACTAAGGGTCAAAGGGAATGGAACCTACCCACAGACTGAAGCCTTACCCAGTGAGATGGCCCTAACTGTGAACCGACACACGAAGCCACAGTGGATTCCAAGATTCAAACAGAACTGATGGGACCTAGACACTGACAGAATCTTGAAAAGCAGCAGTAAAGTTGCAGAACTCATGCTTCCTGCTTCTAGAGCCTAGGACTAAGTTACAGCAATGACACAGATAGCACCGACAGAAGAACTGACAGGACACAGATGGGTGACTAAAGCCCAGAGTGCACACTGATCCCTGTGAGCTTAGACAAGGCACCTCAACAATAGAAGAGAAGCTGAGCAGCCATGCTTTGCAGTGTAACACACAAAATGTTCACCTGGACAGAAACCAAGGTGAAAGAGGGAAACTCAACTTTCAGAAGGAAACAAAGGAGAGATTTTATGTAGCTTCAATTACAAAAACTTTTTAAGAAATGACACCAACAAAACAAAACAAAAACTATGAACAACAAAGAAGGCAAACTGCACTTTATCAAAATTAAAAACTTTTTTTGGTGTATGTGAGATGGTCTTACTGTATATCGATGGCTGCCTGGAATTCCTTATGTAGACCAAATTCACTTGGATCTATCTGACTCTGCTTTCTGAACACTGCGATTAAAGAAGTGCATCACCAAACATGGAAAAAACTTAAAAAGTTTGTATATCAAATATCAGTATTAAAAAAGTGAAACAACACAGAGAAGCCCTATATCAAAAAACAAAAACAAACAAACAAACAAAAAGTGAAACAAAGCCCACACAATAGGATGAACTATCTGAATCCCATATGTGATGTGATTCAGGCAGTTTTCAGATCACATAAAAACATAACTTAAAAAAAAGGCAGACAAGTCAATGAAAAACTTGGCAAAGCACTGGAATGGCCGTTTCTCGGAAGCAGACCGTCACCGAGCACAGGAAAACACTAGCGGTTGTTTGGGGAAACGTCAACACCGACCCTGGTGAGGTGCCTTCAGACTCGCTAGGGTCGCTAACACAGAGCAGCACAAAGACGCGTGGTCATGTGGCCAGTCTGGGGCCTCTGCTCAGTGCAAGTCCCCACAAAGGAGACTTCAGAGAGAACCTCAGGCTGTAAACACAGACTATCACACCACCCAGCACACTGCTGCTCACACACAAGCCTCCAGAAGACATTTGTGTATGAACACTCACAACAGATGAGACAACCAGATGCTACGAGCAGACCAGTGCACGGCCAAACCCACACAAAGTAACAGCATGTCAAAGGAATGGATGTGTTTCATAACAGCATGGGTGGGTCTAGAAGATCCCGCCAGCGAAGGAAGCCTGGTACAGAGAGTGTGCCGTTCACACAAGTGCGCAGAGCAAGCAGAGCCACAGAGCCAGTCAGACTGGTGGCTGCCAGGGGCAAAGGGAGGGTGGGGGTGCTGACAGTGACCGCTGAGCAGAACAGGGTCTACTACGCACTGGAGCTAGGCGGAGCTGACAGCTGCACAGGGCTCACACTGCTCTATGTGCTGTGCACTTAAAATACATTTCACCATGATGAGAAAAGTTGCAGGGGCTGTGGTTTCCGAAAATAGTGCATTGCTTTTACTGTTAAAGGCTCACACATATTACATATTTTCATTTACACAAAATTCTACAAAGGTTAAAACTAATCTATAAAAGCAGAGAATACATGAGTGGTTGCCTGGGGCCAGAGATGGGTATGAGGGAACTTTCTGGAGTAACACAAGTATCCTGTACCCTGATTGTGCTGGTGACAGAGCATACCCATACACATCTAGCAGGATGTAGCCAATCGTACATCATACGTACTTAAGTGTGTGCATTTTGCTTGTCAATTTTGTCTCAATAAAATTTGTTTTTAAAAACTAAGGATTTGGAGCCAGAACCAGACATTTCCTGTAATCAGGCAAGACTTCCAGTGGACAGACTGGGCCACCAACCCAGTCACAAACCTTCAACCTACATTTGCCCTACCTACAAGATGTGCTGGGTTAAAGGTGGTGCACAAATTGTGGGAATGGCCAACCAATGGCTGGTCCAGCTTGAGACCCATGCCCTGAGAGAAAGCCCATTCCTGAAACTGCCTGGAGGGCCAGGAACCAGAGGCTGGATAGCCCTGGGGCCTAGGATAGAACCAAACACAAATGGCAAAAACAAACAAACAAAAAAGTCAATGAAAAGATTCCTAATGATAGTCCACTATGCTCATAGACTGGCCACTATACTCAGACTGGCATCTAGCCCTACTGTCACCAGAGAGGCTTCACCCAGCAACTGACAGAAACAGATGCAGGGACCCAAAGGCAAACATGAGGCAGAGCTTGGGGAATGCCATGAAAGAGGGGAGGAGGGATTGTAGGAGCTGGAGGGGTGAAGGACACCACAAGGAAACCCACAGACTCAAGTAACCTGGGCTCACAGGGGCTCACTGAGACTCAACTGTCAGTCAGGGGCCCTGCATGAGACTGACCTAGGCCCTCTAAACATGTTACTGCTATGTAGCCTGGTCTTCATGTGGGACTCCCAACAGTGGGAGCAGGGGCTGCCTCTGACTGTTGCCTGGCACTCAGACCCTTCCCCCCTACTGGGTGGTCTAGCATTAGTAGGAGAGGCGATGCCTAGTCCTATGGCAACTTGATAGGCCATAGGAGGCCTGCCCTTTTCTGAAGGGGAACAGAGGAATGGGGGAGAGGATGAGAGGAGGTGGGGGGAGGGACTGGGAGGAGAGGAGACAAGGGAAACTGAGGCTAACTGTAAAAAAAAAAAAAATCCCACTAAGTATTGGTTACTCTTTGAAGGCAGCAATGGCCATTAATGTTACTGACTTTCCTAATGTAAGAGCATTATGATGTGGTATACACACCATGCTTTTGTTGCTGTTGTTATTAGTTTAACACATATCTACTTACTTATCCATGCATGCGCGTAGAGCTGAAGCACAGGGGGTTGGCTCTCTCATTCCACCCTGTGGGTTCTCAGGTCAGGTCTAACACAAGCACCTGCGCTTGCTGCACCAGCTGTGCCCCGGGTACCACACTTTAAGTGTGGTAACAGTGGAAGGTCTACCTGCCAGATAGCCAGTGGGCTGCTCACCAGTTCTGGAAGAGGGCAGATGGTTCCGGTGTTCATATACAGGCCTTCCACAACGATGAACCGCCGAGTCACACGAGCCTTTCGAGGATTCTTTGAAAACAACCCCCCAAAACCCAGGCGTCTTAGTTGTCATAATTCCAAATATAAACATTATTCCCAAGAACCCGCACCTCATAAAGGATTTATGTAAAAAGGCAAAACAGGCCATAGTGAATTAAAACTCAACCCCTGAGAGCCTATTATTTTGACAGGAACACTATTGAGAAGCAGCACTTTCCTTTCTTGGCCAGTTTTCAGTTCACAGCATCAGCCGGGCGCCCTCAACACCACTGGAGGCACTCTGACAATATTTAAACAGTGTCCCAGCCCCACAACAGTTGGGAGAAAGCCCAGGGAACCTAAAGACGGAGCACAAACTCATGGGTGAGTTACAAGGCAAAACTATTCAAAACTACACAGCTAGGATTTCCCTTTCAGTGTAAGAGGAGACACATAGATGTACAAGCAGTGAGATGTTGATGATAATATTATGAAAGAGTCATGGTGTGTGTGTGTACATTATACTACTGTATTTTCCCCTGCGTGCTGGCAATCTGTAACCTTCCTCACCGTTGCTGACCTATCAGTGAGTCAGGTAAAATCTAAATGTGACTTGTCTGATCAAATCCAAGGTGGCGGACCAGAGCGGCCTAATTCAGACAGTATGCATCTGTGGACACCTTGTGTCCAGAAGGCCACTAATCTATCACACCTGAGAACCTAGAGACACTGCAGGTGTGATAGACTGAAAAATACTGAGACCAGACATAAAACTCATCCCCACCTTCCTCTTCGAAGACTTCTTGTGTTCCAATTATTAATCTAAGAATGCCTCGAGGGTATTTTAGGACCCAAGGGCACTGTCTGCAGAGAAGCACTTCTGCTCTGTGGAGGTATGAATCATAGTCTTCTTCAGCTCACAGGTAAACGCTTTCAAGATGGTAGCACATATCTGTCAGGATCACTGGTGGAAAGAGGCCACCTGCATTTCAACACACAGCATCCTGACATCTCCCTTTTAAAATGTCCTGTTCCCTTAGTTTCTGCAGTGCTTCCTTACACTGAGTAAACAGGCACCATTCAAGTACCTGGCTAGGAATTCAAAATATGCAGTAGAAGAGCCTTAGGATGAACAAAAATATATGGAAGAATTCTAAAGATTAGTCAATCTACGCATTGGTAACTTATCTTTTTTTTAGATTATTTATCTACATACAACTTTTTCCAAAATCAGGAATTTACTGTAGTAATTTTAATATCTGATTTAAAAAATACTACATTGTGGTCATTTCTAGTTTTATCAAAACATAGTTTTATTTTGTTCTTTTAAAAGATTTGTTTTCATTTTGGGTGTATGAATGCTTTGCCCCGCATATACATATGGGCACGTGTGCAGTGGCCAAAGAGGTCAGAGACTAGTCAGACACTCTGGAAATGGAGTTACAATGCTGCAACCTGAATCTCAGTCTTCTGAAGAAGCAGGTAAGTGCTCTTAGCCTCGGAGGCAGCCATCTGTCTCTCCAGTGCTTTAACATGGCTTCACTGGAGACACCGCTCTTACAGACATACTGTTCTTACCATTCTTTTCCCCCCCCCTTTGGCTTTTGAGACAGGGTTTCTCTGTGCACCCCTGGCTGTCTTATAACTCAGTCTGTAGACCAGGTTGGCCTTGAACTCACAGAGAGCCGCCTGCCGCTGCCTCCCAAAAGCTGGGATTAAAGATGTATGCCACCACCACCTGGCATACCTCACCATTCCGAGTGCTAGAGGCAAGCCACTGCCTTGGTTTTGATTTTTACACTGCATTATAACTACAGGCCAATTTTTGATGTAATTTCTAGAGACAACATCTCAAGTAAGGAGATATTTATAAAAATAAGATGTGAAGTTATTTAATAGCTACCCCTGGCAGGAAAATGAGATATAAATTACTTAGTAAAAAAGTGAAATTAAATTTCTAAGATACATAATTTTCTTTCTGATTGTTATCCATAAAACCTCTATAGATTATAAATCTTATGAAAACACATAAAATCTGAGTACCACATCTCCACCATCTAGCCAAGAAAGAACTCCAGCAGACTTGTTCCTTGGTCACACTTTCCAAAACAGTATTTATTCTGGTGGCCGGGATCTAGTGTCTGCTCACAGAATTAACCTGTGGGGCAGTCTCAACCTCAGAACTCCTTTCGCTTTTCTTAATCATGTAAATACGGAACACTGGGTGTCAGCGTGCTGAGCATACTCATAAAGGATGGATCTGCTGCACAGGCTGACTCCTAAACAAAGATGACAGACTTCTAAATGAAGAATGCAAATATTTGGGAAACTAAAAATAACAGAGAACCAAAGGCGGCGGTGAGTGTTTTCCTTAGTCGCTCTAGCGGTGGAGAAGTTCCTTGGTCAAGTCCACCTGAAGGCCTTCCAAGACACTCCACACCTCACAGAGTCCTGCTGCAGAGCCACAGAGCAGCTCGACCTTTCCCAGTCACACTGCCTGGAAGGTAGCTGTAATCCTCTCAATGACGCTTTCGCACATGCTTCCTCGGCACTGGTCTCCAATCACGATGTAGGGAGACACTATCCATCGCCACCCCTAGGGGGCTCAAGGTGCCCAGGCCTTCCCTCTAGAGGGTGGCTGTTCCCACAGCAGCTGCCTGAGCTTCAGAAGGCTTAGGATCCAATTAGGTATATTCTGAATTGAATCCATGAGCCTCCTGTACTGTGGAGCTGCCATGCAGAACTCGGGGCACCGCATCTCCTCAAGGGCAGGCTGCTGCTCTCCCCTCAGCCCCCATGGAAACACTGCCTCGACGACCCCCAGCCCCCCAAATATGACAAGGCTCTTCAAGCCAAAATACATTAAATAAGGAGAGCCACCCTTGCTGAATATCCAAATGTGATCCAAAGGCAGGTTTTCAATGACAAATTACCTTTCATCTATAATTTAGCAGCTTAGGAAGTACAAAGGGCTGCATAATTCTCTTTAGAAGGACCATACCTTTTGGTCTTCAATCTCTTGTTCTCTCAGCAGTCGCTCCAAGTCAGCTGTGTCATTGTGTTTAAACAACTTAATGTCACTGCGTGATGCCTGCAGTCCTTTCTGGATAGCAAAGCAGGCTGCACTGTCCCTGCAAGGGGCGAGAGGCACTAAATTGGGGTGAAAGAGCATTGTCAATATTCTCAGGAGAATGCCTGCTTTTGTAAGCTAGCCAGCCTCCAACTGTTTACCTGAAAGACAGTACATAGAAAGTGTTTGAGCGCTCACACAGAACTGTTTGCTCTTCCCTCAGCAAGTTCTTTCCGCATGGCTACATTAATCTCTTCCATGAAGCACAGCTAGCCATATCCTGACCTCTGTGAACTCAGGACACACGCAGAGGGTGGTATCAGCACTCATGCTCCTCTTGGGTGGTATCATGCTCCTCTTTGTAAGAGCTTTGGGAAGCACCAGCGGTTTCACTGTCAGGGCATCTGCCACCTGACTCACCACTTCAATGCTCCAGCACAAGGAAACACTGGCATTTCAGCTGCAGGCAAAGTATCTGGAAGAGCACCTGAGCACAGCCAAGCCGCAGAAAACCCAGTCTGACCTCACCCACAGCTGAGATGAGTGAAGAGCTTAGACTTTGGCCTTTCAAGAGCTATTATGATGACCTTGCCTTGCTCCCTATGAACAAAACTTCAACCACACCTGGTAACAACGAAGTGTCCAGACATTTCCAGTTGGTTGCCATCAGAGGAAAACCAGGACTGTCACCATCACCCAGCATCAATGAAGAAACTCTGACCCTGGGTGCCGAGCTGCCGCAGGGCCTGGGATTGACAGGTGCCCTGGCAGGAATGGCAGCAGCCTTCCACCTTCTGTTCCCCAGTGTCAGAGAAAGCAACCCGAGCACACGGTACCACAACACAGTAATCTGCAAAGTTCATGCTCCAGAAACAGAGTTGAGTCAGAAGGGGGAAATCACCATGTTTAAGTTTAGAATTTTACCACACTTATAGCTCCCTTGGGGCACATATGATCTGTGGGCAGCAGGTTGGACATGTCAGTACAGACTGGAGCCGTAGACATGAAAATGCGTGAGTTCCACCTGAGGATCACTTCCATCAAGTATCACTGCTAAGGTGACAGCACTCTCAATGACGAGCAGTGTACTCAAAGCCACCAGATAACAATGCCTCAGTGGGCAGTCACCAGCGAATCTTGAACAGGTGAACTAAAACAGAAGCCTGAGCCAACAGCAGCTGCAGAGAATCTTACAGGGATAGCACTCTGAAAAAGAAAACGGCCTATGAGATACACTGTGGATCAGAGGGGAAGACTCGGTGCACAGAAAGATGTAATAAAAACGAGTCCATGCATGTCAGAGAGAACCCTGCAAAGAAGAGTGGCGAGACCTAGGAGCTCCATCAAGTGATCTGACCTCTGTGTGGAGTCACAAGAGAGGGGAAAGATACTGGAACTGCAAAATGACACAATAAGGTCGCCAAAACTCTGAAGGCAGCGGGCAAAACTCAAACAGATAAGGCCAAATGAAAAGTCACAAGATGTGCAGTGAAGCACATAGCTTCTGCGGGTCCCTGCGGCCGGCAATGCCTGCAATACCGGACTTGGTATAAGTCATTTAGCATCTGTCTAGGTGGGCAAGGGATTGTCTTTTCCCATTGCACAGTGGCCCAAGCCTCCATTCATGGAGGTACATAAAGAGGCATATAGACACATAACTTCAGATAGCTGGACAGGAAAAACCTAACACAGAAATGACAGGTCTGAGGACAGGGACATCCCTGGTAACAGAGGCTGCCTGAGTGTGTGAAAGACCCCTGTAAGAGTCAGGGTCACCAATGCCAGGTGTGCTGCTCATGGGCCATGAGGCCACTTCTACCTTGGTCCATCTAGAACAGGTGTGCCCAGTGAAATGCAGGTTTGGGGCCTCACAGTGCCACACAGTCTGGCATTGTTGACAGCCACAGGTATGCCCAGAAGGCTGAGTACATCCATCTGCAGTGATTATGCCGTGTTGAACAGAATCCTGCACAGGGCCTGACAGTATGCCAGTGACTATGAGGACAAGATTTCTGGGCCTATGCCTGAGGCTTGGGAAACTCCTTAGCATTTCTAGGTACTCCTGAATCATCCCTTCACAAACCACCAACTATGGGTTTGAGAAGACCTTGGGCTTGGGTTGCCCTCTAGTGCTGAAAGAGTGTCAAGACAACAGTCCATTTCTGGTAAACCTGCCTGGGGTCACCATGCCAGTTCTTGAAAAACAGGCACCAGTAAAGGAGCTCTGGGTTTGACCAGCCACGGCTCCTTCTGTGCTCACATGATGTTTCACTCCAAGCCCCCGAAGCGCTTTCAATAACTAGAACGTTGGCATAGGAGAGCTGGCTCAGCTGTCAAGAGCACTGCTGCTCTACAGAGGACCCAGGTTCAATTCCCAACAGAACATGGTGCCTAGGGACCACACCTAACTCCAGTTCTGGGGGATCTGACATCCTCGCCTGACCTCTGTGACCTCTGCACACACATGGTGCGCACATATCTACATACAGACAAAACACACATTAAATCAAATCTTAAAAATGAAACAAAAACCTGTGTCAAAATAAGGTGCCAGCAACTGACCCCACAGTGATCAGGAACTCACAGGAGGACTCACAGCAGCAGTTCTAAGGAAACCAAGGAGCACAGAGGAAGCGGGATAAACTTCTCAGTACCCTAACACAGAACCCTGCCAGAAGGAAACAAACATAAAATTCTCTGAGCTAGAAAACAAGACCAAAAGCACAGTAAGTGAAATTAAAATGTGCAGGAGGCCTGAACATCAGAAAAGTCTAGCTCAAGACAGAACCACTGAGCTCAGAGATAGACTACTTGCAAATATTTATCTGGAGGGAAATGAAGAGTGAGGAAGATAGCTCACAGCAGCTCTAGGACAGCAATAAAGAGCAAATGTCTAGGCCAAAGTGGGTAAAAAGAATCTGAGAACACCTACAGGATAGAAAGCTTCCAAGCAAGAACAGAAAACTTCCCTGAGAGACAGCTACAAATCCACAAGTACGAGAAGGTCAAAGGTCATGACAAGTCAGGTTTAACTCAAGACTTCCTCGAAGCACATCAGAATCAGGCTCTTAAAGGTAAAAGATGAGGTACTCAAGGTGTCCCAATTAGTCTCATAGCAAATTTTCTACAGAAACGTTGATCCAGGAGAGAGCAGTACAGGTTCTCAACTTGAAGGAAAAACTAAAACTCCAGAAACCTTCAATAAAAACTCTACATGAAGCTCTCATTTAGAAATAAAGGTGGTTTTGGTCCTGAAAAACAAATGAATGAACAGATGAACAAACAAACAAAAAGATCAAACTCCACATGACTGATGATTCTTTTGCCAGGCAGTGATGGCTCACAGCTTTAATCCCAGCACAGGAAACTCAGACGCAGGTGGAACTCTGAGTGCAGAGGCTAACCTGGTCTACAGAGCCAGTTTCAGGACAGCCAGGACTCCACAGAAACACCCTGTCTCAAAAAACAACCCCCCAAAAACAATACAGACCAAAAAAAAAAAAAAAAAAAAAAAAAAAAAAACAAAAAAAAAAACAGCAACAACAAAAACAAAACAAGAAAGGAAAGAAATGAAGGTGAGGGAAAGATCCTCCCAGACAAACAAAAGCAGGAAGAATGTGTCTCCTCCCTGATCTCCTGAAAAACTGTGCAGGGGATAGCTCTACACATGAAGTAACGAGTGAAACAACTCATGTCTTCAGCATGATATAAAACTCAGAACAAAAAACCCTGAAATCATTACTGTTTTACTAGCTGGGGATAACACAGAAAAATATAAAATATACCCTCAAAAAGGTAAATTTAAATTGTAGAGATACTCCAGCGGCTCAGGTGCTTGCCTTGCTAGGATGAGGATGGGAGCAGGATTCCCAGCTCCCATGTAAATGCCACCTGGAAGGAGAGGAGCTCCACACAGCAAGCTGTCTAAGGAGACCAACCCTAACAGTGAGTTTTGGGTTTGACTGAGACCCTGCCTCACTGAATACGGTAGAACAATCCAGGCTGGTTTCAAATGTGAACCTTGGGCCTCCACATACATATCCACACACAAGCACACACGAAAACAGAAGGGAAACATTTAAATGGGCAGAAGGAATGCAAGAGCAGCTTTCCTTACTAGTGTGTCTTCTTTCTGTTTCTCTTCTTTTGTTTATGATGTTTACGTTGCAATCATTTGAAAACAGCTTGTTAAAGTGAAAAGACGTTTTTTGTAAACCTCATGGTAAATGCAAAGATGCCAGTAACTGCTGACACCAGCTGCACAGCCAGCTGCTTTCACCTTGCAGGAAACAGCCACACCATGAATCCAGGGAATGCACTTGAGTTTCCAGCTTTGCTGTGGAGTCAGATTGATGATTTGAACTTTATGTGTATGATGTTTTTCTGATCATATATATGTGCATGACACGTGTGCCTGGTATCCAAGGAAGCCAGAAGAGAGTATCAGAAACCGTGGAACTAGAGTTACAGTCGTAGGCTGCTATGTGGGTGCTGACAGCCAGCCTGGGTCCTCTGCAACAGCCACTGCTCTTAAGCACTGAGCCATGCCCCTGCCTCAACTCCTATAAGCTTAGAGAACAGACCCGGAGACTAAGAAGGATGGGTAATGAGCATGTGACCTTGTGATCATGACAGGGCCACAGAACTGACAAGGAACGAGGTGGAAAGCCTCATTTGGGTATCAACAAGAACAATCATAGTACTAGGAGAGTGAATTCTCCACTGTCAAGCATCTTTTCAGTGAGGGTCTCAAGCTCTTGCTTGGAGAAACCAAACATTCAAAAACAAGACAGAGAACCCAGAAGATTCCTTTTTACTTTAGGCAGGTAACTTCCAACACACGACCTGCTGAACCTGGCAGCGCAGTGCTGTTTCAGAAGGAATCTGGTCCGCGTAACTGAGGCACTTACACGAAGACAATGTCTCCTCTTTTCGCATAGGCAGGAATCGCACTGGCTATGGTGGAAAATCCATACGAGTAAATGATGGCTTCTTCCGTCTTCATAAATTTTGCCAGACGCTCTTCCAAATCCAGATGGACATCTAGTTTAAGGAAGAAGTTAAAACAGTCAAACAGTCTTGTACTTCTCTGTCCTTTACTAACAAATGATAAAAAGCACACAGTGGTTTAACTACTGGCCCTTGCACTTTATAGAGAGAATGAGAATTGAAAAATAATTATTTATTCTTGCTGCATGTATGTGTGTCTCTGTGTGTGTGTTTGTATGTACATGATAGTCCATGTGTGGAGGGTAGAGGACAATTTATGAGAACTGGCTGTCTCCACCCAGTATTTTAGTTCTGGGGATCAAACTCAGGTCTACAGGTTTGGCAGCAAATGAGTTTACCTATGGAATCACCCCATCAGCCCCTGAAATAGAAAAAATAAAAACAAAAACAAGAACCAAAAAACAAAGAAAACTCTAGAAGATTAAAAGAATCTGGACCACAAAGTTCCTCTGAGACTATGAACTGGAAATAGTTCCCTATCTCCAAACATGGCAGATGGATACCTCAACTCAGCTACAGACTTGTTTGCTTCCAGTACCAGGAATGGTTATATCTAATCAAGTTGTTGGCCAAAGGGATTCCCTCAGAACTGCCAAATAACCTAGGCTGTTGCCAAGACTAGAGGCTGTTCTCCACAAACTGACAGAAAGGCCCCGTTGCTGAAGATAACACCTACACAACTCACAGGACACAAAGAAGTCCAGCTCGTGTCTACACAGAGCCTCCACCCCTGTGTTCTAGCATCTGTGATACAGGAAGTTTCTCTGCATGCTTTCAGAAGAGAAACACAAACACCAAGCCAGCCACAAACCCTCTAATCTACACTGCTGTCCTCACGGAAGATCTGCTAGCACCACGGGGACACAAAACTAGCAGAGTAATCAACCAATAGCAGATTTGACTAAGGCCCCTTCCACAGCTTAGAACCCCCACACAACACTGCTTGCAAGACCAAGAACCAGACGTTCTGCTATACTCAAGGTCAAAATCTTGCTCAGCCATCACCAGAGAAGCCTCCTCCTCAGCAGATGGGAACAGATATGGAGACCTGTGTGATGGCTACTCTGGGTTGTCAACTTGACTACATCTGGATTGAACTACAATCCAGAAATGAAGGGCAAATCTGTGAGAGATCATTTTTGCTTGGTTGGAAATGAGTGAATTCACTTCTAGCCTGGACCTTTGAGGTAGGAATGCACACACATTTGATCGGGATTTTGAGCTGGGAAGATACACCTTTAATCTGGGCTATGCCTTCTGCTGAAAGCCTATGTAAGAACATGGAAGAAGCAAGCTTTTGCTCCTTGTCTGCTTGCCCTAGCCTTGGTAGCACATAGATCCCTTCCCTGGCATTGGAGCTACTTCTTTGAGATTCCAGCGTACACTGAAATGAAGAACAGCTGAGACATGCCGCCTTGTGGACTTAGCAATTACTGAAATTTTGGACTTTCTGCTCACAGCCAGCCACTGTTGGATTAGCTGGACTACAGCCTGTAAGGCACTCCAAAAAATCCCCATATATATGTGTGTGTTTGTGAATAGATATATACATATGTATATACATATGTACTCTATATGTATGTATCCAGACATAATACAGAGTGAGAGAAACCTTAAAACAATAAGTCCTAAGTGTGATGTCTCTATCAAATCGGCCCCTTGGGACTAAGGGAATCTCACAGAACAGGAAGGAGAAAGAGTGTAACAGGAGATGGAGGACACCAAGAAAACAAGGCTCTCGAAGTCCCCATGCTCAAAGCTCATATGAACTCACAGAGACTGAGGCAGGCTCTGATTCTTGTGCCTTCTCTTGGGTTCTATTTCTACAGTTTCCCAATTCTGGTGTGTTAGTTTTTGTTTTATCCTGCTCTATTCTACTCTACTCTATACTATTCATATTCTTCATATTCCTGTTTGTTTTCTAATGAGAGACCAAACAGGAGTGGATCTGGATAGGAAGAGAAACTATAATCAGGTTATATTATGTGAGAAAAGAAATCTATTTTCAATAAAAGTGAGAAAAGAGAATACAGGTATAACAGGATAAATTCTAATACTGAGATGACATATTTAGGCACTCTGAAATCATGGCTCCTTGTAGCCTTTCAGATCAGCCTGAGCCTTTAACTCACGCCCAGAAGGAAGGGTATCAGTCTTTGGGGACAGCCCACCAGCACCTGGCTCAGTCTTAGAGCTTCAAAGTCCCTTTAAAATTAGGCATTCTGAAGGAGAACTGGATCCTTAAACACCCTTTACCCTGTCCACTACAGTGATGGTCACGCCTGGAGGACCAGATTAGCTTCACCACACACTCTGTGCAAAGAGCACTTCCAGCACAGGGAGGGGAGCTGGGGCGAGGAGAGGAGTAGAAGCAGATTTGTTCCAAAGCAGTGGAGGAGGAATCAGGGTGTGTCAATGTAGAGTACAGTGGGTAACGGCAAGGACAAGGCTTCTTCATGTGAGGAAGGGTAGAAAGTAGCAATAGCAGATCCCAGGTTAGCTAGAGTCCCTAAAAGGTCCTAGAATTTTGAAAATAAACAGCAGATTCCATTTCAAACAAGCAGCGACAGAGCTGGCTTGTCCACACTCACTGGTCACAATGTCTAGGGCTCCCAGCACTGTAAGGAACAGAAATACACTGCCAACTGGCCACAGCCAAATCACAGCTAAGTCCTTTCCTTACATCAACATGACATAAATGTGGCTTTCAAACAACTAAGCTTAAATTCATCAGCAAGTCCTAGCTCCATGTCATGAACACACAGAGCCTAGGACAGGTGGCTGCCAGCTTCTAGAGAAATGGCACCAGGAAAAGGTTCAGGGGAAATGGCCAGAAAGAGGAAAGCAAGAAGGACTCAATAGTGGCTTATCCCCAGCCTGCTAAGCAAAGGTTAGTCTGAGGCGTGCCCCCTTCCCTGCTCCACTAGGGTCCTCAGCATCATGGCCTGTGCCTCTCAGGTCCAGACAAAAGACCCCTTCAACTCCAACCCTGCCTCTGGCTGGGAGTCTACAGGGTGGGCTGTCCAGGCCGGTCATGGTGATGAACTGCTCTCCTCTGAGATCTCCTTTTCAGAACACTAAGCAGTCTGTCACACCATGCTTTGGAGGAAGGTGCAACATTTTTACTAACGCTGAGAGGGCTTCTCAGCTCTCCAGACTCCTGTCACTGGTGATGGACGAGAGTGAGAAGTTAGACATACCATGGCTTGTACCAGGGCCTTAGAGGAAGACCCTCAGCTGATAGAAACAGTGTGTCAGAGCATGTGCGTCACTGTGTGCCCAGATGTAGAGAGCATTCGAGTCACTGTGTGCACCAAGGACCATCACACACAGGGGCAGAGAGCATGCATGCCACTGTGTGCACTAAAGACCACTCACACACAGCAGCTGCAGCATACTGGGTTGAGATAAATCAGTGTCTTGCCTACGCCCCAAAGTTTCAGAAACTGTGGACTTCCTTCTGTCAAATGCACAGATTTGGCTGGCATCAGTCTTGCAGAGCAGGTTCTGGAATGGGCTAACATGTGAGAGTGCAGAACCCGTTTCTCTTGATGCTGGCTTGTGAGTGAACACACTCCCACCCAAGGGAGGGGACAGCAGGAAAAACTTCCAGGTGCTGTTCTGTGACAGGCCCTGTCCTCTGTGTGTAGATCCACCCAGGCCAGGAGGCTCTAAGTTCAAATGGAGCAAAACTCAAGAGCTACATTTTATGACTCGCTCAGCAGAGACAGGCGAGCACTGGGTGGTCTGTGTCCCACACTCCGTAAAGCCTTCAGGACACTCCAGTCCTTTGTCAAACCTCACCAGAACCGAAGACAGGAGGCCTGACCGCTCAACCGTCCCAGAGCTCAGGCTGCAGCCAAGCCCTCAGGCTGGGCACCTCTCATCGGGTGTACACCCAAACAAGTGTGAATCTGTTTCATGCCTCGCAATACCTCCTCTGACAAACATGGAACAGCCACACCTTCCTCCAAGGGCTGCTGGGAGGACATGCAATTTAACATAATAAAACACTCAGAACTGTGCCCAGCTTTGAAAAAGACTGTTCAGTTAACCAATATCTAGGAGAAAAGGTTTCACTTAGAAAAAGAAAATCGGGTTATCCCTTACCTTCTAATGAAGTTATGTGAATTTATGGTAGTTAAAGTTTATTTTCCATAGTTCACTTGTCCAGCCTCATTTATAATGAGGAAACAGCAACTCTCCTTGTTCGTTTTCCAAAAGCTTATAAAACCAACGTCAAAACAGTTCAAGTTCAAGGTACCACATTTTCTGTTAAGAACTTTCTAGTTTCATGTAAATCCTATTCTTTGCTTTTTTGGGTGGGGGTTTGAGCCAGGGTTTCTCTGTGTGGCTGAATTTATCATAGAGCTTGCTCTGTTGATCACGCTGTCCTGGAACTCAGAGATCCACCTACTCTGCCTCTGGAGCGCTGTGATTAAAGATATGCGCCACCACTGTCCCGATAATAAATAGTACTAAAGAAACAAAAAAGCAAAACAAAACAACCCCAGGCTACTGAGAAGGTTAATAGGTAAAGGCCCTTGCTGCTAGACCTAGTGAGCTGAATGGTCCCCGGGACCTACACGGTGGAAGGCCAGACCTGACTTCTGTGAACTGCATCCTACCCTCACAGGAGCTGTGACATATGCCCCTCCCCACACACAAATAAATGATTTTGTTAAATTTCCAAGATAGAGGAAAAAGTAGCTTTGCTACCTTGGAGGCTGGGGCAAGAAGATTGCAAGTTAAGGCCATTCTGGACAGGGCTGGGGATATAGTTCAGTAGTACAGTGCTTAACCAGCATGCACAAGGCCCTGGTTTCAATTCCCAGCAACACACACACACAGGCACGCACACACTTGCACTCACACACACTTTTCCTGAGGACAACAGTGCTTATATATTCAAATGTCATAATGACTGTTTCCACATTCAGGATCCCATGTGATTCTTACGAAATGCTCTGAGCTATGTGCCTGAGGATTGCTCCCCACAGCTACAAAACTAGGATCTTATGACCACCAGAAAAGCATAGCCAATCCAGGAGTCTGAAGAACACGTGTTCTTCCTGGTCCTCAATGGCACCCAGCTGCCACTCCTCCCACACAGAGAGGGCGTTTGCAGACCACCCACAGGAGACTCCCTGCCGGCTCCAGACCAGAACGAAATAGTCACTGAGCCTACCACAGAGTGATGTCTTTTAACTCAGGGTAAGCCCCAAAAGCCAGAGGAGTATCTGCTTCAGACTGCTCCCAAGGCAGAAGAGGCTAGCACAGAAGTGCGGCTTCCACATACCCAAACCAGGTAAGTGCTGGAATGGATAGGCACCAGCACACCACCCTGAACACACAGGCTGATCACCACGAAGTGAGACATGTTCTTGGCTCCAAACCACACAGAAGTGGGTGGGAAACACTCCAATCATGACTCTGTATTGACATTTAAACCACAACTAACAACACGTTATCTGTAAAAATGAGTACATTTGCTGTGTGGTTTCCTTGAGACATGCATGTGTGTGCGCTGACCACTACTAGAACGTGCCACTTAGTTCTCTCTGCCAGACTTATGTGAGGAAGCCCACACCACCCACATTTTACACAAACTTTAGCTTGGTCACTGCTCCACTGTCTTTCTGTTACAGTAATTGGTGGAAAAGAATTTTAAAAAATTATTTTGTCCTTACACGTGTGTTTGTGATACAGGAGTTCATGTGTCATGAGGAGAGGTGACTTAAGGATCAGTTCTGCCTTCCCACCATGTTTGTTCTAGGGATCTAGACTAGGTCTCTGGGCTTAGACCAGGTCTCGAAGGCCTGGGAGGCTTTAACAAGTAGAGTTACTTCTGTTATGAGAGGTTTACGCTCATTATCTACAAGTTAAGGGAGGCTCTAGAAGAGGGAAAGAGCTTTGAAACAGATGCCCAAATGTTCACCAAGGAGAAGAGATCATATTAAAAGCAACATCTGTGGGCTTGGGGAAAGAAACTCTAAGACTTCAGCTACAGTGCAAACAAACACAACAAGGAGAAAGAGGGCCCTCACATCTGCCTTAGGGCTCAGTGCAAGTGTGCCTGCTATGCGCTTGCATGCTCAGAGGTCTGAAATCAGCCTGGGATGACTCCAGCATATTGCTCCGACTTGTCTGAGTGCTAAAACTCCAAGACAGGTCACTATAAATTACTCAAATAATTGCTTCCAGTATAAGGAGGAAACCCCCAACCAACCAAACAGAAAAACCCTGCTAGAAAACAGAAAAGGTACAGATGTAAGGGATACATGTGCGCACAGAGGAAACAGGCTGACAGGTGAGCACTGCTGAGAAGGAATGAGCCAACCCGCCCACTACACAGCGGCCTGCCGCACATGGGCCTGCAGCGCTGGCCAACTGAGCTTTCACTCACGGTTTTAGGACAGAGGGAGTGACTGGCTTATAAAGTTATTTGTGTGTACTTCTAAACCCATATTTTCGAGATATGCCTCTGGTGGCTATTCAGACATCCAAATAATGAACTCCAATTTAAACCTAAAATATACTCATTTGTTGGGCTAGGGTACAGCTCAGTGGAGAAATGTATGCCCAGAACACACAGGCTGTGTTTTGACCCTAGAGTCACAAAAACCCAAACACTTTCTTATCAACATTAAAGCACAGTGCAATCTATCTAAGAAGCTATTTGTCACCGATACCTGCTTGGGCAAAAAAACCCCCAAAAAACAGAACAACCTTAACAAAACAATGTCCCCAATGGATGTCACTTGTGTATCTGCCATACTCTAGGGCAGGTGCCATGGCCAGGTGTAACTGGTGAACTCAAAATAAACTCTTTTTTAGGGAGTGGGGTGCGCTTTTTTATTCTGTTTTGCTTTGTTTAGGCATTTAAAAAAATCTTTCCTTTTTCTTTTTTTGAGAGAAAATGAACATGAACTTGGGTAGGATCTGGGAGGAGTTAGAGGAGGAAATATGATCAAAATATATTATACAAAAGTTTTTTAAATTAAAAAATTTGGAAAGGAAAGTAAATGAAAATTAGATCACAGAATGTATAAAACGGTTTTATTTTTGCAAAAACAGGAAAATGTGGCTATATGAAAGTCATCTGCATATGCTTCAGGAAAGCAGGGATGACAAGAAATGACTTTTTGAAGGCGAAGCCGAGGCTCCCAGAACGGGGACAGGTTGAGGCCTGGAGTCTGAGCCTGTACTGCACTCAGGGAGGAGCACTAAGTGAACAGCATGTAGTTCACTGTTGTTTTCGTCTCATTTTCTCTGGGAATTTTAGGCTTAAAGTCCAATCACTCATCTCATTTGTTTTAGCAACAATCAAGGCCACGTCACAACTAACAAGAAAGCAGTTTCTGGGCCACAACTAACAAGAAAGC